ATAAATATATCAAATAAATATATCAAATCAAATCAAATCAAATCATAAATATATATACACTACTCGAGTATAATTATACTACAACTCGAGTATATACTCAGTATAAAAAAAAACATATACTAGTAAAGATTTAGATACCCGAGAAGAGAGAGAAGTATCTTTCTATTTACTATTTACTATTTATTACTTTTATATATCAATGATTTTAATTTCTCTTATTTAGTATTCAGTCTTGAGTATAATTTTTATACGAGTATACTGAGTAAGTCTAGTCTAGCTCTCAGGCTCTATCTGAAATTTTGTTTTGTTTTGTTTGTTTTGTTTTGTTTTGTTTTGTTTGGTTGATTATGCTATGTTATGTTATGTTATGTTATGTTATGTTATGCTATGCTATGCTCTGTTTCTTCTATCAAAGATTTCTTCTGTCTAGTATTTCTTCTATCTAATACAATACAATACAATCCACAATCCAGTCCACAGTCCAGCCGCCACCGCCACCACCATCACGTAGAGATATATGCAGCACTTGCTATCTCTACCCCTTTCTTGCACTTTTCTTGCACTTTTCTTGCACTTTCTTGCACTTTTTTTCCCTTCATCATTACAATATTGTCTTTCCTCGGTCTTCTTTCTTATACAGTAAGTATAGTACTGTACTTCCCAAAAATCCAATTATGAAATCTAATCGAATCCATGATTCTCCGTTGATTTTCCATCGATAATTTCCTTAGGTCAAGTCAAGAAAGCTACTTGATATCTCTTTCGGTTCGACAGATTCCAAAAATTAGCCCTCACCCCACTCACCTCACTCAACTCACTCCAACACCTCCCCATCACCATCAATCAACCTCCTCATCTCCACCTGTTCCTTCTGCCACTCCACCCCTTCAGGAACCTGTTGTCCATCTCCATCCCCATCCCCTCCAACCCAAAATTGTCCTCCCTCTAATGCTCGTCGATGGAATTCCCAATCTATATCTATATCCGCTTCTTCCTCTGCTGCTTCTGCATCATCCAATTTATTGATCGAAGGTGCTAATGAGACTGCCGCTGATTCCGTCACTGATGCATCTTGTGGATTGAGTGCATCGAGTTGTAAAGCAGGATCTATCATATCCATGCCCACATCCATGCCCACATCTAGCCCGTTCAAATCCATATTCGTGTTGTCGTTCATGAAATCCAGACTAGGTAATTCGCCAGTATTCGTGTACGTGAAGTCTCCCATCATGTCCATATCCATGTCCATATGTATGTTCATATCATCCTCGCCGTCCAAAAGATTAATATCCTGATGATTGATTCTCATATGCTCATGGAAATCATATTCCCTCATAAACTTATGTGGACATCCTTGAACCACACAATCAATCGTCCTCCTCGCATCATAGCCCGCTAATTCTTCAATCTCGGTTTGTTCAGGAATCTTTCTCGAAGAACGTCTTGGTTGTGAACCGTTATTGCGTCTACCTTTGGAATTTAAGAGACTCGGTAAGCTGAGATGAAGAGTTCGGACATGATCTTCAAGGTTGACTTTCGAGACGAAATCTTTACCGCATGAATCGCTTCCATCCCAGGATGCAAGATCAGGAGTTTGGGAGACGTCGAATGTTCCACAGATAAAACGTTGACCATCGTGGACAGTACGCATATGAACTTGTAGATTTGCTCTTTTGGTGAAAGTTTTCGGACAACCAGGATATTCACAGGGGATATTTTTGCGTTCTTCGAGTGTACTACCCGAGTGTTGAGTTTCAATATGCTTTTGTAGCAGTTGTTGACTAGAACATTTTCGATCACAGAACATACAATTTGCATGTTCTTTTTTGATATGTGTTTGTAGTTTTGCATAGGTGGTAAAAGCAAGAGGTACAGGGGTACCGTCTTCGTGGAATTTTCCTGGTAATGTACATTCTTCACAGAGAAATGTTGCTACTCCATGAGTTCTCTCCATATGTTTTTTGAGTCCACCCGAAGCATCAAATCCTGCCTTGCAAAGTTCATTCGTAATCGGATCAACATGTGTGCATGGAAATGGTGCCAAATCTAGATGATCGGAGCGAATATGTCGTTGAAGCGTCTGATGTTTTCGAAATGTTTGGTTGCACGGAGGATGAGATGTGCATCGAAATCTTTCATGACCTTCATGAGCATCTCTATGCCGTCTCAGCCTCGTAGCCGTCAAGAAACTCTTACCACATCCTTCCCAATCGCATGTATATTGTCGCTCGTGCGTGTGAGATCCCTTGATATGTTGCTTCAAATGTTTCTCCTCAATGTATGCCTTGTCACATCCTTCATAGGTACATACAAATGGTCGTTCATTCGCATGTGATCGGAGATGTGCTGCTAATCTTGCAGGTCGATTAAACGTCTTTACACACCCGTCATGAGTACATTTTATCGTCTTATATTCGGATGGGAATTTCTTTCCAGGTGCGGGAGAAAATGGTGTATTAGGAGTATTAGGAGTATCTGCTGCTTCCACAGTATCGTCTTCGGAGAGATCATCTTGCTTTTGGCGATATTCATCATCATTATCATCATTGAGTAAGTCTGCCACTATGGGATCGTCAATCCATCGAGGTCCCAAATTGAAGTCTAGACCAGGAAATATTTCCACTAACCTGGCAGAGCACTTGAGGCATCGATTCGTAATCTTTTCGTAGAGATTTCCAAAGAAGCATCCTCACTCCTCTTCCTAGTATTTGAAGCCATTGCCGATTCCGTATGCTGTTGAATCGACCTCAAAAAATGCTCAACTTAAACTCCTTCACCTTATCCGAAATATATTTCATGAAATTATTGTGGCTATCTTAAAGACCGAAATCTTGGCACGCTAACAATGAGAAATGCGCTAAACCCAAACCTTAATTTATATGGGGCTCGAATCTGAATAATCGAGGCGCAAAGAAATCAGCCGCGCCAAATTTATTTTTGAGATTCTTCATCACCGACAAAGTCTCCCGACAACAAAGAGAATTCTTAACAACACCTCAATTACTTCAAGAACCACCTATCAAAATGTCTGACGACGAAGGAGATTATGATGGCGGGTACGTTCCCACTTCCTCTCTTTTGCAAAAACGACCAAACCCCCCATCCACAAAAACCCTTTCCCCCCCCAAAACCTCCACTAACCCATCACCCCCAGCTTCTCCCCAACCTACGATCCCGATGAAGCCGAAGAGCCAGACTACGATCCCGAAGGAGTCGAAGACACCAACAACGTATCCACAGGCGAAGTCGACGACGTGGCCGTCTCGACGCAGAACCCCGACCAACTACTCACCACCGGCGAGCGCGGCGTCGTCACATCGGGCGATGTGCATGCGGCTTCTCGAGCCAAGAGTAATATCGCGCCCAAGGATAAGAAAATCCCCAAGGAGGAAAGAACCACGACGCCCTACATGACCAAATACGAGCGTGCTCGAATCCTGGGAACGAGAGCGTTGCAGATTAGTATGAATGCGCCGATTTTGGTGGATCAGGAGGGCGAGACCGATCCGTTGCAGATTGCGATTAAGGAGTTGAGGGATAAGAAGATTCCGTTGATTGTGAGACGGTATATGCCTGATGGATGGTAGGTTTTATTGTGATGATTGGTTAGGGGTTTTTACTGATTATTCTGTTAGGTATGAAGATTGGACTTGTGAGGAATTGCTACAGTGAGAGGTGATGGTGGTCATTTTCTTGCATTTGTGGTAATACTTGCGAAGAGACGCATGGAATGGGCGGTTGGCGTATGAAAGGCGTTCACTCATAAGTAATTGGAGAGTATTTACATCGAGAATACATGAAAAAATTCATCTCGACGACAGTAGGCTTCCTTGAGGGCAAATTTTGGGTTATTTCACACGATGCGCGTGCGCGGTTTTTTGTCAAAAAGCATGAGCTCGAATTTACACAAGTCGCAAAGTCATGCATAGTAGTTATGGCTGAAGGATCAACTTGCCGTTGTAGCTTCCCAGACTTCTGCACACCTACCTACATTACGTTCACAAATCTGGACTCGAGACGAATCCCAAATGATGATGGTATAGCCAGGACAAGATCACTCAAGCTCAAATCGGCATCTATAATCGATGGTTCAGGAGGACCGTAAAGTTCTTCTATAGGTCCTTCTTTATCTCCCTAATTGCCTTTATAATGGACCTCAAAATTGGCTCCTACCCCATGGGCCACAAGTTTTGGGATTCGGGGCCCCTGAGCCATTTGTCACATAGAAAGAATCTCACATATTGATATCTATAGCTTATGCCTATTTACATGATCACTCCCGCTTCTATGAAAATCAGCCTCTAACTCCTTCATTTTTAAATGTGAAAGGAAAACCGAGGACACACATACTATGCGAATAAGTATTTGGCGGCATGTTCAATATGATCTCTTCCAAAGGTCGAGATGAAGAAGTATGAGTGATCGTATCCCTATTGAATGATATTAGTCTCTTCTCCCTTCTCCAAAACCAATTAACATAGAGAACAAAAACATGGACATACCTCTTGATATCTCAATGTCAAATTCCCATCATTCCCCGATTTCTTCGCCGCTGCCGCAAAATTCTCTGGTAATAACTGTCCCTGTTTGTAAAAATTGTCTCCCGTTCCCTGTGAAAGCCATTCATATTAGCCATCCAGCCATCTCCCCCCAAAACATCAAGAATAGAACAGAACAGAACCTAACTCACCACATCAATCAACGCCGGAAACTCCCCCTTAAACCCCCCAATCAACTCCGTCGCATCATGCTCCCCCCACACCTCTCTCTTCTCCTCCCCAAAATACCCCTTAAAAGCCTTCTCGCCCCACGCACACTGCACGGGATTTGCAATCGGCGCAAAAGCACTCACACTCTTATACATACCGGGATTTTTCAGAAACAACGTAAGAGCACCATGGCCGCCCATCGAATGACCCATGATACTTTTCCTAGAAGAATCGAGTTCGGGGAACGAGGAGAAGAGAGACGAGGGTAGCTCTGAGGTAATGTAGCTGTACATTTTGTAGTTGGTGGAATAGGGGACTGCGGTCGCGTCCACGTAGAATCCGGCGCCTGTGCCAAAGTCCCAGGAGTCGTTTTCACCGGCTATGTTGAGTCCTCCTGTGCATGGAGAGATGTGTTAGCTTGGGTATTTCGCAATCAATCGCCTGCATATTATTCCATCTACCCTCACATCACATCCTCCCTCACCCTCAAACCCAAAACATCACTACACAAAACACGCCCCCTTCTCCCCTCCTCCAACCCTCCAACCATCCAACAAAACTCATAAAACAAACTTCCCAAAACTTACGCGGACTCGTATCCGGAAAAATGACCGCCACCCCCCTCTCACTCGCCGCACTCTGAAAAAACCCCTTCTCCGCCCCATTATCCCCCGTACACGTTAGACCCGCCAGATAAAAAATCACCGGCACTTTCTTCTTTTTCTCCGCAGATGCAAATGCTTGGGGTGGCAGATATAAATTCAATGCCATTTCGCAGCCGACGGTGCTAGCATCATGGGTGAGTTTGAGGAGCTTGCCGCCGAAGGAAGCGATTGTTGCTGTGGTTTTGAAGGACATGTTGTGTTGCGTTGTGTTTATTTTGGTATAGGATTGGCGATTTTTGATGATTGGTTTTTGGGGAAGATAAGTTGGGTTCGGAAACTTGGAGAATCCTGAGTATACAGGTAGTAGTAGTTGTAAAAACTACAGAAAGAAAGAAAAAAAGAAAGAAGAGTCAGAGATGGAGGCAATGACGTTTGAAGCTACCTAGTATGCTATTCGACCCCTCCTTTCCTTCGAAGCTTGAGACTATCTACCCCACATAATTCGGACGTTGCTCGGAAACTTTCGAATTGAGCTTTCTTTTCCTGATTCCTTTTTCTGGTTCCTACAGTTAAAGCTGAAATAGGGAATTGTATCCAGTGGCTGTGGATTTTCATAGATCGATCTCAACTTCTCAAGACAATTGTCAAATTACTAGAGAGCTCACCGGGAAAGACTTAAGTACCTACGTAGAGTCGTATACTATGGATAATTCATCTAGTCCAATGTTCTATATGCAGATGCAGATGCAGATGCAGATGCTTTGGTATTTAAATGTCATTCAATTCTTGTGCAGGTTTTGTTCTCTGTCTTCATGGGGTATCTATCTCTTGAACTTCCTTTCCTTTCGTCCTTTCCTGGCTCTACAATGTAGTGTAGTTGCTCAGCCAGTAATGCATCCATCCTTAAAACAAATTGCACCCAAGCACCACAAGCACCCCATGAAATATCGCAATCATTATGATCTCGTAAAATCATAAAAAAGAAGCCAACGCCAATATGCAATCAAATCCCTCTCTTACTCTTACTCTTACTCTTACTATATCAACTGATTCGTCTTCCCATAACCATTCCATCACTATCACCCGAAACATCTCTCTCCCCACCTGCCAACTTGGCTCTCATCTCAGCTTCTGCTTCTCTCTTGATGCGGATGAAAGCTAATTTCTCAAATCGACTTAAAGCTTTCCACCAATGTCGTCCAGCCTCATGTTCACTGATTCTCTCCAATAAATCAACTACTCTCATCCGAACATCTCGTTCTTTGTGGAAAAGTCCGAGGGCAATATAAAAGAGCCCTGCGTGGGATTCAGGTGCGACTGCTAGGAGCTGACATATTTCATCGTAGGAATGTGTGTATTTCTCCATGGCAACATATATATCACGGCTGGTATTGGGCGTAAGTTTTGTCATCCGAAGACGATCGTGCAGATGATGGAGATCGAGGGATTTGAGAGGTCGAAAATTATAGAGTTGCGCAAGATCCTGAGTAATTGTAAGTTCTCAATATCATGAAAAGAAAAGCATAAGACATACCTGCTTAAAACTGTAATAACTTCGAGTAGCTCTCCAGCCCTCAATTCGATTTACATTACTAGCAAGCTCGCGTAACTTCGCATTCTCATCAGGCCAAACATACCCATGGCCACTGACATTCTCGTTGCCAGGCTCTGCTTTTTCTACGCCAATGTACAAAGCACTCGCGCCGTAAACGCTCTCTTCGAATTGAGCTGAAATTCTGGTGAATTTTACCACCCAGTCTCGCCACTTGGTTCGGATGACACCTTCGCCATGTCGAGCTGCAATACTACGAATCACATCATTCATGAATGCGGAATCGCCCGTTGGATCACTGGCGGCTTGACTAGTTGATGTTGCAACATTTGTGGCACTGGCGTAAGCTGGATTTTGTTGCTGGAAATTAGCAAGTCCTTCTGTGAGTGGAGCTTGTTCGATCCGACTACTGATCTTCATTCGTCCTGAGGGTATATCACATAGTACATCCCACCATTCCGGATGATTTTCGAATGTTGGATTTGTTACACCTGCTATGAACCCTGGCACTTTCAAAAGGTCATCAATCTTGCTGAGATCAGTATATGGAAATGCATGGCGAGTAAATCCACGCAGAACCCCCCCAGATACTAAAGCGCAGGCTGCAAGAACGGCCTCGGCGACTTCACCTGATGGACGATTGTGGCCAAGGAATATGACACGCTTTTGAGTTATTATAGCATTGACTAATACAATGATGGGATGAGTATGTATCCCTCCTGTTGTGAGGTGTGGATGTAGCGTAAATGGGATTGGTGATTTAACGTGGGGGTCGTTGTAGGTTTGTATAAGCTTTACGAGGGAGAAATCTCCAACAGTCTCGGGAGATACTGCAACAGGAACCTTGATGGGTATCGGAATTCCATTATACGTAACTTTGGTCTCGAATTCGTGTGTGTCTCGAGGTACGGAGTAGCTCGAGTGTATGAGTTGTTGAACATGTGCTTTTGTACCATTTCGTAGCAGACCAGGTCTCGACGGTCTCCTTTCTGGGCTTTCGGACATGGCTGTTATATCGACCAGCGCTTCGCCTTGGTCCTCTGCCATGCGCATCTGAAGCATTTGCTCAAACTTTTCTACAAACAGATCTTTGTTGTCGCTTGCTTGTAGAAGATGACGTTCAAGTATGCTCAGCCTGGGCATTAATGATAGATCCATTGTATTCACTGCCTCGTATAACTCTGCCAGCGTAGACGGTTGAGGTGTTTTAAAATATTCTTCAAGGGCTAATAGTAGAAGTGGCTGCCTGGCATTAGTATTACTTCAATTTTGATAATGCTTAAAATGACCAACCTTATAAATGTGCAGAAATGGATGTCGAGTACATATAGCCATGGCTTTCACTACAGCTCCTCTTTTGGCAGTCTTATCTTGTTTAGTGTTGACAAGGTTCAACACATATATCAGAGGTGGACCTTCGCCTCCTTCTGGCTCATCATCTTCCGATTCCTCCTCACTATCCTCCACACTTTCCAAAAGGTCAACGTTTCCATTTTCAAAAAGTGCCGCCTTGGCTTCTTTCTTCGCCCGTCGTAATCTTCTTCTTTCTGCCTTCTCCTCTGCCTCTTCTTCATCCTGACTTGTATCTTTATGTAAGAAGAATATCGTCCAATCCTGGTTTCGAACATGGGCTTGATCCGGTAACATTAATTCTGCCAACATATGCTCATCTCCTGTTATTGCGACAGGATATTGATGTTCCATGATAGGTCCCTTATCAATATCGAACGACGCCACCAGTATATATTCGACATGGTTCTCGGTATCCCCTCGAGGATATTGTGACCTCAACTTTCTCGCAGGGTGTGCACCTGGGTGATATTTATTTGGGGCAGATAACGAAGAATGTTGAGACGATACCCCGCTGGTAGGAGTTTTCGAATTGACAGTACTTGGATCAGACCTGCGATCCGTGTCTATTGGTGGAGGATTCGGACTTCGTGAAGGCCGACGTTGTGACATGACTGAAGGAGAACGAGATGATGGGAATGAAGATAAGGAGGTCCTTCTTTGAAAACTCCCGTTGGAACTTGTCGTTGCACTCCCAATTGTACCCCGCGTGGTTGGACGAAGTGCTTGCATCGACATATTGGTAGAATTGGCCTTGCGACTTGGAGGCGCATATGGAAGAGCCGATGCCATGTTGGAATCTCCTGGGGACCAAGAAAGCATTACTAGGTTTAAGCTAGTACAATTAGCAGTTCCACTTGTGAGACCTTTTGTAGTGAAGATGAGGCCTTATTTCAATCCGTGCGCAGAATTGTCCACAGAAATTTTGGTACTTCAAGGGTTATACTTCTTATGGTTATCGCCGTTCTCGATTTCATGGACATTACTTTGTACGTATGGGTACTCTAGAACAAGCCTCAAGTTAATTAAAAAGCGGACTAAAATGAAGAAGTCATGGTATGAACTATGAATGAAGATTCTGAATTGAAGTAGTCATCTAATCGTCTAGTCAAGTAATCATGTATGTAGCTAACTCATGTACTCGAGTATGTAAATGAAATAGAATATTGGATATTGCGAATTGACTGATACAGTGGGTTTGTCCGTCTCTGGCTCTGTTACCTGTCAAGGTTTTGTAGGTGGTGTATATTTTTGGGCCTCTTTTCAGGGGTAAAATCCCAATATTATGTTATACCTACTAGGCAAATCATTTAACATAAGGCTACTACTCATAAGGCTATCCAAGATCTTTAGATAATTGGTTCAAACTTTAAAATCACCTACTTTTTATGATTATTGGGTAAATCATCTAAAGATCTTGATCAAATCTTATATTATTTTTAGATAGCCTCGCGCTAAAAACATAATTCGCCGATTAGACGGATTGATGGATTGATTAGACAACCCTTGCCTATCCATGTCTGAAACCTCCAATGGGATTTGTTTACACCAGCAACCGAATTCAAAAACATTCAGCCTCTTCATCTCCATGATAACATTTGGAAGACTTGCTTTCTATCTTCTATCTTCTATCTTCACATCTTCACACAACATCATCCAATTGTTTTCAATCAAAACACTTTTTTATTCTTGCCTTCTTTTTGACACCATAACTGAGGATTGATTATCCAAATTGTATGTACTCTCATTAAAAACATCAAACACAAACGCTCTTTATCTTTATTATACTTCATTTTCTGGGGAATATCTCCATAACAACCATGGTAAGTTGTCACTGGTCCACTTTTCAGAAGTCGTGGCTTCCAATTCTTTAATATAATGAATAATGCAAGACTAACGTACATTGACTTTTGTAGTCAATGTCTGCCTCTTACAAACCATCACCGCTATCCTTTGGATCACCTCGAGCTTCACCATTTCGAAGACCTGAATCCCAATCCCAATCCCCCGCCCTTTCTCCTTCTCCTCTCAGACAATCAACTCCGAATCCAACACCTGTATCTGCCAAGAATATGTTGACACCAAGTAGACTTGGTAATACTGATACCTCCAATTCAACAATCGAGACAGCTACGAGTAAATGGACTCCTAGAGGTGTTCCTCCTGCGCTTCGTGAACTCGAGCCTTCACCTACAAAAGGCGCAAATACAAGTCCGGGGTTTGGTGGCCCTTTGAAAGGTGCGGGTACGAATTATTCTAGTGATAATAATGCGCTGTCGAAATTATCACCGGCGCAAGTCAGTGAAATGAGGGAAGGTTTTCAGATCCTAGATAGAGATAGTGATGGACAAGTTGGTAGAGAGGATGTCGCTGATATGTTAACTCAATTGGGTATTTTTACATTATAAAACTCTAGAACATCTCAAAATGCTAACACTTCCAAGGTCTCTCCTCCAATGCTTCAGAATTGGCTAATTACTTTCCACCATCCACTCCACAAACCGTCACACTCCCTACATTTCTCAATTCGCTAGCTACACATCTATCTACCCTTTCTCCAACCCTGGAACTATTAGATGCATTCTCCGCATTCGACGAGGACGATAGTGGACAAGTTGATTATGCGGAATTACGAGATGCGTTGATACATACAGCTCCCGATCCAGGCGTGAAAGCTTTAACGGAACGGGAAGTCGATAGAGTTATGGGTGGGTTTTCAGCACGAAAGGCTTTATCAAAATATACAGGAGCAATGGGCGGAAGTAGACGGCAAGATGTATTCAAATACCAGGAGTTTGTTGCTAGTGTGGCTGGCGGGTCTGGACCGGACGGAAAAGGGGAAAAGGTTAACGATGATGGTGATGAGTAATGATTAAATATGGGTATATACGTGTGTACGATGTAGGTAGATTGGGCACGTTTTGAGGGTCGGGGCTGGGAAATGGTGGTGGTTTTATGTTGGCGTTCTTGTATAATTGTTGGCTGGTCGGTCATGGATGGACAATGAATAAAGTCAGATTGGGAGGATGATCATGGAATCAATTATAATGGATGCTTTGTTAATCTATATCTACTCGTGTGGATATGGGAAGCTTGGAGTGATGTTTAGAAAAGGGTTTAAAAAAGGTTTGAAGGGTTGACATTGAATAGTATGTCGAAGCCGATGGAAGTGAAAAGTCAATGTGTGAATGCGGAAGGAAGATCAGACTGTGTAGAATAGGAGGTCGACGGTGTAAAGTATAGGGGTGGATGGGTTTGGAGGATTTGAGGGGAAGGGGAAGGGGGAATTGGGTGAGGGGGTTGGATAGGTACGGTACGGTATGGTAGGGTAGACTCGGATTTGTAGCTAAGAGAAAGCAGGCAAATAAGCAATCAAGCGAGACGAGAGACGAGAGACGAGAGTATATTTATTTGTTTATTATTAGTAGTAGTAGTTTTCAAAACGGGAGGGAATGGATGGATGGATAGATGGATGTAGCGAGGGGAGGAGGGGAGCAGGGGAGCAGGGGAGGAGGGGGAGAGGGATTTAGGGAAATGGAAAAATGGGGAATAGGGAATGGAAAATGGAAAATGGAAAATGGAAAATGGAAAATGGAAAATGGAAAATGGAAGCCGCGCGGAATAAAGTGGAGGGTCAAGAATTAAAAGTGGCATGTACGAGTGTCGTAAGAATGAAGTAAGAGAGCTAGGAAAGAGGTACAGTATTGAGTATTTAAGGGATACCATACCGGTAGCTATAGGGAGGGGTGGGGTTCATATCATAGAATTTGACTAGCAGGTGAAATCTGAGGGGTGTTGGGTTGTTGTGTTATACATTGGCTTTTGGGGATGTGAGGTGAGGTGAGGTTAGAGGTTGTTGTTTATGGTGAGGGTGAGGGTGAGGGTGATTAGAAAAAGGAGGAGAAGGAGGGGGGTTATTCTTGGGGTGGTTTTGAATATTGGAAATTGGGATGGAATTGGTTAGGTTAGGATAGAATTTGGATGTACGAGTATGGGATATATGAATGAATAGATCGTAGGGTGGGTAGGTAAAGTGTGATGGAAGAAAAGATGATGAACTCTTGACGAGGAATAAATAAAGTATCTACGAGTACTGAGTAGAATATGTGAATGTATTTGAGGTTGGATTTATTTATTTGCAAGTACGTACTCGGTACCTCAGCCTCTACTTTCTGATTCTGGACAAATACTACTAAGCTAGGCAGGCACCTTAACAAACAATAAAAATTTCAACAAATAATCCCAAAACGATGCCCAATGAATGAAATAAACCCCACGAATAACTCACCTAATTAACCTACCTACCTACCTAGGCTTTAGGTAGTAACCAAAATATAAACTCCAAAATCTCCAAGTAAGCAATACAAAAATAGTAATCATTCAAAAATCTTTCCTTTCTTAAGTGAGCAGCGAAAGAAAGAAAAAAAGCAAAAAAGTTCATGAACAAAAAAACAATCTATGAGGATATATAGTTAGAGGTATTGAACCACACCCGATTCGAACGGATAACCTTTCGATCTGGAATCGAACGCGCTACCGTTGCGCCAGCGGTCCTTGTTGATTTGATTTACTCGAATAATATGGAGTGGTTTATTTGGTTATTTATAGGGTTTGTGATTTGTGATTTGTGATTTGTTCAAGTGGGTATTTTGGAGGAGGGTAGAAGAGGGAACTAGGGGGGATTAGGATGTGCTCCGAAAACGGATGTGGGGCTGGTGGGGGTGGGGATGTGGAAGTGGAAGTGGAGGATTTAATTAATGGAAGCCTCAGGAAGGGGAGGGGAGGGGATTATAATGGTGCAATGTAAGGACGGATGGATGGATATGTGAATCTGATGTTGTTGTCGTCATGTTGAATCTTGAGCAATACTATATATATACGACATGTTGAATCGGTCCCTTGGTATCTTTATCTGTATCTTTATTCTCCTCCTAATTATAAAATACACCACCATAGGTATTTGTCCCACCACACGATATCCAACCCTCAACTTTCAAGGCGAGAACATTGGTCGGCATCTACTTTTGCCCTTCATTTCGAATTCCTGGGACTCATGGCTTATCAAATATCTTTCCAGGATTCAATAACCAACTATTTTGTTCCAGATTAGCTTTGGCTCTTATGAAAGACATGTTGGGATGGGAATATACTTGGGATCTAGAGAATGCTTCAGTTTCTTCATGACGGTAATTGTATCGAGGCCGAGCTCTTTCAATAAGCAGTCCTAGTAATGTTTAGCTAATAAACTACAATTGACGATTTTAAGACATTCAATAATTGACTACAGATATGTAGATCAATTGAAAGCCTAATTCTCATCACTCACCTTCTTTCCGAGACCTATTCCATGCTCTCCCTAAAGTAAATTAGCGTTTGATGGTACAAGAACGGTGTGGAAATACAAACAGAGCTTGTGCCTTCCATTTCTAACGCCCTGTCTAGCATATCATGCACGCATTTATTGACGGCAGCCGTCTCGGCTGGATCTTTGGGGTTATACATCACCGCTTGGTGGAAATTCCCATCCCCTACATGTCCGAGTACACTAGAAAACAGACCTAATTTCCCTGATTCTTCTTTTGAAATATCTACGGTGATATTAGTCCTGACTCTTGTACGATAGGTAGAATCTAAGAAAGGATAACTTACCGATGATTTCAGCCAACCTTGATAATGGCACTGCACAATCTGTACTCCAAATTTCAGTACCTGGTAGTCGTTGTGCGAGCATTGCCCATAAAGCTTCTTTTCTTGCAGACCAAAGAACTACTTTATCTGCCTCCGTCTGCGCAAATTGAAACTTTCCGCCTTTCCACTGCTTTGCTATAGTCTGTATACGCTGGATTTGGTCTTTGATCGCTTGCTCTGTACCGGAGAACCTATCTTTCCTTAGTAATATATAAGACGAGGGGTCTGATTGAGAAAATACTTGAAAAATAGAGTCGGCCGTTCTTCCCACAACCTCCCACCAGTACCCCCGTTCTTATTAATGACCTGCATCTGTACTTCATCCATAATTTCCATGGCCGCCAAGGGGATACCTGTTCTGATGATCTTCGATGCGGCTGTTGCAGCATCAACAACAGAAGGAAATGTGACGACTGCAACACTGGTAGCTTCAGGAACAACAGCCAACTTGAGCGTGATTTCAGTAATCAGACCTAAGGTCCCTTCAGCTCCCACAAAAAGGGAGTTCAGATTGTATCCCGCGGAAGTTTTACTTTTGGGTGATTAGAACGATCGTTGTTTGCAAAGAACATGTAGAACAGGGACATACCGTGGCCGTCTTCGCGTTTTGATTACAGTACCGTCGGCTAAGACTACGGTCAAATTGATGACCCAGTCTTTCATTGTGCCATACCTCATTGCATTGGTACCACTAAAAAAGGTGAGAACGGACAAAAGTGCTTAAGATTGAGTGAAAATACCTGCAATTTGTAGAGACCATTCCTCCAATGTGAGCCTAGAATTTTATATTATTAATTGAGAAAGTCAATACATTCTGTTTCTTGTGAATGACATACCGTTGGGCTGGGGTCCAATGGAAGAAAAAGACCGCTGTCCTTGATCTGCTCATTGAGGTTCACCCAATTCACAGCAGGCTGTACGACAATATCCATACTTTCTAGAGTTAGCATCGGTTCCGTAAATACAATAAATAGTAAGACTTACTCATCCGGATGAAATTGTACGATTTTGTCCATCTTCACAAAGTCGATACTCAACCCCGAACAAGGAGTTGAGATATGGCCCTCCACACTTGAGCCCGCTCCAAATGGTACTATTCACGTTCAGTAAATATGATGAAAAACACAAAACTTCATGAGAACTTACTCATTGGCACCTTATATTTGGAGCAGATCTTTGCAATTTTGACAACATCATCAGTGTCTTTCGGATATACAACCGCTATAGGTCTATTCTCCGAGTTCGACGTCGACCATTCCGAATAACAGTGTCTCAATATCTCATCTTCATCATAAGTAATTGATTCATCTCCTAACTCATTAGCAATGTCCTGGACTGCCTGTTTTTCATATCAGTTTGCATCCTAGTCACGTGATTATCATCTTGCGAGGACAGCTTACCTGAAGCATGACAGCTGGTTCTGCATACTTTATGGGAGAACCAAAAATCTTTGGATCGGCTTGACTTAGGTATGAATTGTAGCCATATCCAAGGCAGAGCGTCACAGCGGCAGATGCGAGAGAGCAAAGCAGCACGGTTGATCTGCTGAAAGAAGGAGGAGAAACTATCTTGCCCTCGGAAAGGTGAACAGAGTTCGAAACAAATCGTCTCTGCAGTATTGAAGATTTAACATGGAGACTACCGGTCAAGCTTCCGCGCAATAGCAAAGACGGAACGGTGAGGACTTTCGCAGGAACGGCAAGCTTGCTGGCTAAGAAAATAGGGAGTAGAGGGCGATGCATGATGACTGCTTTGTTGATGAAAAATCAGACTACCACAATATATACCAAAGACAAATATGTATTATCTAGTTGTAAATTCAAAAAACCAAAATTGTAAAGATACACCGGTGTATGCTTACCGAGTAGAAATATTGATGACGGAGGTTGGAAGGGTAAGTATTGTAAGGCCCTCTTTGGCCCTATAGACCCTGGTAGAATCGAAACCAGGGTCTTTTATTGGCAATATCACTTTGTTTTGATGCTGCTTTAATTAATCTAATGCAATCTTGCCACATTTCAACGTTTTCGACTTTTCAACCTTTTCAACCTTTTCAACCTTACAACTCTGATTCAATATTATTATGATTATCATAATCATTATAATCTTTATAATCTTTATTAAGTATTGAAAATATTGATGATAATGAAAAGGGTAATAAAGATAGGTGCCAGTGAGGAGGGGTAGGTGGTGGTGAGGGTAGGTGAGGGTGAGGAGGGTAAATGAGGGTGAGGGTGAGGGTGAGGGTGAGGGTGAGGGTTGAGAGTAGGTGAGAGTAAGTAAGGGTAGATAAGGGTAGTAATGGTATAGTGGTAATGGTGGTGGTGATGGTGGTAGTGATGATGATGATAGTATAGTGAGTGATAATAGTAATGATGGTTTAGTGGTGGTGGTGGTGGTGGTGGTGGTAGTGGTGGTGGTAGTGATAATATAATCGTAGTAGAATATGAAAAGTTCGTCTTATAATACTTACCGCTGCTACCCCTCCGTATGTTATAGAAGAGGAAGCATTCCGCACTAATGCACCCCAGTCTTGGCAGTGTTCGGTAATTATTCGACCCCGATTGATGAAAGTGAGGGGTTCGTGTTATCAATATTGATACGGCTATGAATGCATAACATCGCGTAATCTCGAGTGTGATTGATAGAAAGGGGCACATATCTTATTTTCATAAGAGTGGAGTGGATAGTTGGGTAATCATGAGATTCATCTCTCAGATTCAGATACCAGTATGGCTTTTTCAAGCTATCAGAAATGCCATATTACGATGTCCAAGTCAGTATCGTATCATATTTCTTGATTTTACCGAGCCATCGGTATTTGAAAGGCACAAGATCACCGTATGTATTATTAGCCCAGAAGTCTCTGAGTGATGAGAATTATGGTACCGAACAGGTGCTTTCTTTAACTACCCAAAATACGGTAGCCATTTGCGATGAAAGGACTAGCTAGAAAAGAGCTTAAGTAAACATCATTCTGGATGCTCATTATTCTACCATACACTCGAGCCTTTTGACGATAAACATGCTAGTCTTTTTTCTATTGGGTTATTTGTATTCATCGCGTCGAGTGTGGTTTTGATGAGTACTTTCCTACTTCTCAAGTCACCCCTAGGTATTGCTATTGAAGTTATACTGGACAAGAATATGTATAAGCATTGAGGTACGATTGAATACTCGTTTTACAAACCAGGAGGGATGTATAAAGTTTCACTCAGTAGACCTGTTTCCTTAGTCAAGGCAAAACCACCTCGATACTGTAGCACTACCGAGAGTGAAAATATCATGATAATTGACAGTAAACTAATCATAGTAAGTACAAAGGTAGAACATGTCCTCGGTTTCTCAATCTTTGTACTTCCTTATTGGAAAATTAGTTGCCAGGTCCCTGTTTTATATATTTCTCCCAACATCAAAACACACTTATTAAGTCTACAGTACTTATTATTTGCCGAAGAACATTTTTGGTCACCTTCAATACACAGATTTTACGGGCTCGGAGACGTCTCCTACGCAGAAGACTGATACTGAGTGAAGATCATGATAAGAGCCCACGATTATCAGTTCTATCGGATACGATCATTGAAGACCGGTTCACTCAGGCAATTGTGCAAAAGTGTAGTCGAGAGGCGCTAACCTTATTCTGATCTCACTTCAGCTGCAACCGATAGCAATGCTTTCTTCAGGTGTTCTTTACGAAGACGTTCCATACCCGCAATTTCTTTCACTGCAGAAAGAACGCCAAAATATGGCACTTTTGCAATGCCTTGAAGAATCTGGATAGGAAAGGATAACACGACGAAGGTATCGACAGCTTCCATACCGATTGAATCACTGTCGTTCGTCTTTAGTATCAAGAATGTGGATATGGTTCAAAGAATCCCTAAAAGTCCGAACAAGGATGATTGCGAATGTGCTCAGCTCTATGCGTCGCTCTATGCCTCATCGCGACGGTATATTGTTGAAGTATATCAATAATAACAACCTGGAGAACTTGGAACATCCAGACTCTGAGTACCCTATGCCACTGGGAACTGGCTATATGCAACATAATTTCTTATGGTCATTTTATTTGTGACCCACTTCCAGATTTCCATTTCAATGTAAACTGGTACTAAGATTAGATTTCTTCAACAATTAGCATGCGACTTCTGCGGAGATATTTATATCCGACTGCAATATATCTAACTTGAGTTGACGTCAGTAACTTGGAGTCATGCTTACATCTTTATGACCTCAATCATTGCCGAATGCCGGCTCATCAAGATCCCACCCGTGGGACTCCATGAACCATTTCATGGGTTTTCCGAGGGTCAAGTGGTATCTGTAAGTTCTAGTCATCTCGAAAGAGCTCGCGCGTAATTTCAGGGGGGAGTAGTGATTAGTCTCGAAGTCTAACATCAATACGTACCTATCTAGAAAGCACGCTAGCCAGCAAAAAAATCCACCCGGAAATGGTGATAAAGAAATACCATTCCTTGTACCGTAATGGTTACTCTGCTGAAGTCCGCTATTTTAAAGTTCTCCCATCTACTCGAGTAATAAGAAGCTAATAGAGGGACCGTATACCAAAAGACGCGGAATGATCATTCCAATCATATAATAGAAAGCGCAATTTTGAGCAGAATGCACGGGAGCTATACAATAGCAGTAGCATAACCATGGCAAGTGAACAGGACTCGCACAGTTCGACAAAAATGCCATTGCTTGTATGTTACCTTCATATGATAGAGTTGATCGACATGTATACGGTAAACTTCATTGTATGGTCGTCTTCAATTGAACATTGAACTTGTATCACGTAGTTTCTGCGTCGCATTGGACCAGCCGCAAAGAAGTTATCCGTTTCCGGTTAACTTCGTACATGACATCTTGCTACTGGGGTGGTCAAAGTACACACATTTTCTTGGATTTATTAGCTGTGTGGTAGGATAACGCCAATCAATGGAACGTTCCTTTGACTAGTCGCTCGTACTTACCGTAGGAGCAGATCAGTTCTGTTATAAAGAGCGACGATTAGATTAATAATGGGATCTCGTCCGAAAGTTTGGAAATGCTATTGTCAATGTAAGTATATGATACTGACTGATTTGAGAATATGACAACAAGAAGGATCTTGAGATGAGATAAGATAGATAAGATGGGATAAATCCTATATGAACAGATATATACCAACCACTCACCAAAATAGCGCACAACAAGATCATGACTACTTTTAGATCTACAAAATAAAAGCCATCCCATGGTTACCAAGTATCTTCTAAGTTCAAGCTCAACCATCGCACCCCGAATAACATCGCAAGGTGGAAAGAATCATATCATACATGATTCTCTCGTGGTAGATAACTCGAACCATTATATAATGCCCTGGTTATTTTTTTGGGGTGCAAGAGGAGGATTACGATATACAGTGAAGTGATTTCTTTGTTGAGGAGATTGCGGTTGGGCGGGCGATTCACTGGGAAAGAGATATGAGTATTGTATAGTATGGTGTTTATGTATACTAGCCTACACATGCACATGCACTTCTTGGTATTCAAACTACGTGGAATGGTATGAATGGTGGATATATACTAGTACATACACGAGAACATAAACCCCCCTTTCTTATTCAAAATTTATCCATGGTTGGAAAAGTTGTCCAGTAAATTTGAATATCCCTGTGATGGCAGGATAAATTATACTATGGAAGGATCGTATATCATTGAGGTATTCTTCTTCTTCCTCATGCACTATAGGAACTTGAAGAGTCATTTTTTCTAAACTTCTTAATACGAAATTTGAATTCGATATTGTATTTAGATATAGAGTTCGATATTCAGTATTCAATATACCAGATATGCAACAAAATAAAAAATCACATAAGGAGAGAATGAAGAGAACTTGAAGTAGGAGTGAATCTTTTCTTACTTTTTTGAGATCTTATCCTTCAATATTCAAGACCCCTCCTACAAGATTATATAATAATGAAATGGATGACTTGAGTGTTGACCGTGACTGAAGTTATTAGCATTACTAGCACTTCTAGTATAGATATTCTAAAATAGCATAGCTTGTCCCTTACCCCCTATAGTTAGCTCGACTAGCTTTCCGGCTTTCCTAGCCTTCCTAACCCCCTCCACTCCTTTTCTTGCCACCGCTCCTCTAACTAGCTCGGCTAATTCCCCTTCCTCTCCCCCTTCCCCCCTTACACTTCTCTACCATCCACCTCTAACTCCTGAACCCTCGGTACTTATTAATGAGTCTTTCACTTTATAATTATATTTATAAAATACTAATTTCGCTCTACTAGTAGAGAAACCATAATATCATCCGTAGATAATAAAAAATTGATTTTATATACTATAAAAAAAGTTAAATAATAATTGTAAAACCGATTGAATAAATATATAACACTAGCACTTGGCCCCGCAATATAAGTTCTATATACTATTACAGGAAGTATACTTGACTACTCGAGTATACCGTGACATTATCCAACAAGCACTACATACCCTCCCACACCACTCGAATTATCTAAATAGAACTATCTATATCTATATCGCAACAAGAAGCCCGAGTAAAGAAAACCCGAGAAACAAGAGAATACAACAACAAAATTGGAAAATCAAAAGTCCATTCAACATACACTCCCAACCCATTAGCCTCCTCCACTGCCATATTCCGATGGTCGAGAGAATAAGAGTACTATCTCACATCATCCTTCCGATCTCGATAGAGATTCGTGCCAAGATTGTGATTGTACAGTAAGTAGTAGAGAAAGGCAGGTGCAACGATTGAGAGTGCTGGGTGCTGAGTGCCATCGGAACCAACCTTTTGCTTCTCAGGGAGAAATTGTTTATCGATCAAGAATGACGTTGAGAAGTCAATGTAAAAGCGTCTGGGACAGCCGAGATGTGTATGTAGTATGTAGATGACAGATATACAAAAGATCTCTTGTAATCATTTCTTGATACTCGTAGTCCGAGAAAGCGTATCCGATGATAAGGAAAAAAAATAAGGTTGTAATTACGCCATGATTGAGAGATACCTCCCTAGAGTTGATAGGAGTGATATATGTAAAGCAAACCGTCCATCCACCACCTTTCCACTACTAGCTAAAGTAGATAGTATGTATCCATTCGTATTTCTCGAATGGGCTTTCATCATTAAATATGTGTCTAAAACAAAGATAACCTCTCCCATGGATGTCCATTTCGTTCCAGACCAACACGATGATTCCAATTTCCGTAGCATGATTCAGCGACGAAAGCATCTTTTCTTATCTTAACAGCAGCAGACATCTGGTACATCAGACAAGATAACATGGAATCGAGACTACCCCTCCGAGGTATTCTCGGTAGACATAGCATACTGTGTAATCCTATAAGTAGATATCTTGGCAATAATACGGAAGCACAAAAATCGTAGGAAACCCAGTAGAAACTATTCAACTCGAGGATCTGCACATCATGCAGTTTTATGGTGTGATTCGATTCGTGGCAGTCATCCACCAATCTCGCCGATATCAACTGTGCCTATTTCGAGCATGACAAGTGTCATTGATATACAGTACCATAGGTGCACCACCTACATCATCGGCATTGTAGGCAAAATGATGGTTGCCGGCCTCGGTACCTCATCCCTCAGATGTCTTTTTCTGTGCGTCCGCGAAAAATAATGCACAGAGGACAGACAAAATGCAACATCCAGGAAAGCAAAAAGAAATCCAAAAACATACAACAGTGGGGATTCGCTGGTGGTCACCCACCCAACTACTAATCCACCGATCTGAAGCTTGTGTATGGCAGAGCGGACGGGATGCCCAATTCTCTTCAGTCTATGGTCGTATGTGACAGTTCTATGCTTTTCGAGGATTATATATCATCATTTTGATCTCTCATTCTGCGGATATCGATATCTTCGATTAGGTCGCCGAGTTGTCAGAGGTTGATGTTGCTTGTTTCGATGCGAATAACCAATAGAATAAAACTCTTGCGATCCGTGGGGATGCTATATATGTCAATTTCAGTGTCAGTTATGATTCAGTAAGCGCAAGTCTTTGTCTCGTCGTCTTATGGTAATATCGATTGATATCGGTACGCAAGATTATAATGCTCGACTTCTCGTGGAAATCAAGATGGATTTTGATAGCTATGTATGTTATGATTAGGCCATCTTGAAGATTACAGACAAACTTGCACAGTTGCATAAACCGTTTCTGGAGACAAACCCCTTTTCGCGGCAATGGACCGGTAAATCTTTCGATGTCTTGCTTGGCATTTAGCGATATCCTGGGCATTATTATGGATGCAAGAATTGCACGGAAGACGCCAGTGTATCAAGCCAGTGAAAATGTGAAAGCTAGGCATGTCTTCGAATTCGATAGATTCCATAGCAACTGGCCTCGTTCTGTCGTAGAAAATATGGAGTAAATATAAAATCGGGAGAGTTCTAGTTCTTTAATGATTGAAGTGAATACGGTATCATTGTCTCGGTTAGAATTGGAAATTCGATAATCAGACAACGATGAAGCTCGTATTGTTAATTCTGCAATTTATACATGGCAAATCAATCTTAAAGACTTCGTTACCATTACCTTGCTAGGTCAAGTTTATCAATGGCATCATTTTGCGGATTTGTTTCATGAACGAGTACGGAAATAGAAACCTTCAAGAATTTAAACATAGTGAACAAATCTCTGGGAACGATTTTTGGTTTATTCAAAATTATGATCAACCAATTTTGGTGCTTCACATCCCGATGAAGATTAATAACCTATTAACAGTTGGATATGTACTCCGTATGGAAATTGAGACGAAGATTATTTGCCAGGTTCAAATGATGCTTAAAAATAAGCAGGCGAGGCACGGTCTGATCAACTTCTTTAATTGTGATTTGAATCCATGGTAAGCTCGAGTGAGAATGGGAATGGGAATGGGAATATATGGAGTGTCCAATCAACACTCGAGTAGAGCCATAATATACGAAGTTGTTCGCTATCCGTCCTGTAGATTTATGAATTTGAAACAATCATTCAATTAAATAGAGGCTACACAGCATTAGCCATAATAAAACAGCCACTTCTCCAGGAAGATGAAATGATCCGGAAATAGAAGCTTTGAACCCGTCAAATGTTACTTTGGATAAGCATCAGGATCCTAATCAGGATGAAAAGGTAAGATAGGAGGATCTTAAAAAGATTAAATAATAGAAAACAATCCTGGAGTCAATCCGGGCAACCCTCGGCCTCAAAATCACATTTATAGGGGCTTTTGGGATGAATAATCACCCCTAGAGTTCGAGTAGATAAAAGTCAGGCTGATGTTCAAGTGAACTTATAGGGGTTTCTCTACTTATTGGATCAAAGCTAATCCAACCGCTAATTGGTTGTGTTCCTGCATTAGATCACACTTTTACAAGCATATCACTTACTACTAGTCCACCACCAGCCACCAAGACCTCAAAGTTCAAACCATGCATTTTATTTGGCCCGGTCTTCCTTCGGTGAACATGAAGCTGCGAAACATCAGATCGCAAGGTACGGATGAACTGTACAACTTCTCATAGGTTGAATGGATAATGGATCCCAGAAACCAAAGAATGAGAAAAACATCCATCACACTCATGTTAATTAAAGTGGATGTCAAATGGAGGTTAACCTTGCTTTCATCGGCGGTGTACATTGGTCGTCTGTGTTCACCGAATGGTAACACTTATTGGCCTTAGCAAAGGTTAGAACGTACGACTACCGGTTTGAAGAATATTCCCCTGTAAATCCAACTACGAATTGGGTACTTTTTGCTAGCCCTTTTCATCGAAGAACCCCCTTCTTATGGTGCGAAAGTGTAAAAGCCTCTCCACATGGGGACCGCTGAAAAGAAGGCCTTCCCTGTCAATCACCCTAGCCCCATCTTCCATCTTTTGTTTAATCTCCCAAGCTTATATGGGGTTGACTTGCCCCTCCTCTATTCTCTTTCCTCTTCATCCAAATAAGTCAATCTTCCAGATCCGTATATATATATTCTTTTGACCTCGGTCGTCCATTCTTTTCAGAACAAACTCAGAGTAAATTATTCTATTACAGCTCTTCAGCACCTCCAAAAACCAAACCCTCAAATAATATTCAAAATGCGTTTCTCCGTTATCGCCGTTTCCATGTTCGCTGGTGCCGCTATGGCTGCCACTTCCACTGACTACGCAAGTTACACAACCCATATCAAGAGAGATTTAGGTTCATTTGGCTAATATATACTAGGTCACTGAGGAAGTCACCATCACCTCCTGCGCCGCAACCGTGACAGACTGCCCAGCACGCAGCACCCAAGTTTCGACCACCGTCTACCCAAAGACCTCCTCTACCGAATCCGTCATCGGTTCCTCTGTTACACCAGCTAGCAAGCCATCCAACAGCGCACCAGGAGCTTCCTCCCCAGCTTCAAGCAACCCAGTTAGCAGCGCACCAGCAGCTTCTTCCCCAGCGACCAGCGCTCCAGCTTCTAGCAAGCCAGCTACTAGCGTTTTGGTCCCAGTCGCTTCTTCCCCAGCTTCAGGCCACCCAGTTAGCAGCGCACCAGCAGCTTCTTCCCCAGCGGGCAGCGCACCAGCTTCATCCAACCCAGCACCACCAGCTGCCAACTCTACCAAGCCAGCCAACACTTTCACCCCCATCTACGCCACCTCAGCCACCTCTGCTCTCGGTGTTGCTACCACCCCAGCAGGTTCCGTCTCCGTGATTGCCATCACCACCTGTATCCCAACCGTCATCTACTCCACCATCTCCCTCACCGGAGTCGAGACCTCCGCCCCAGGTGTCCCAGCTGGCTCCGCCAAGCCATCTTCCACTGGATACATCTCCACCCCAGCCAACGGTTCCACCCCATCTGCTACCGCTACCCCAGCCGCATTCACCGGTGCCGCCACCAATGTTCAAGTTGGAGGTGCTGCCATTGCCGCTCTCTTCGGTCTTGCTGCTTTCTTCTTGTAAGCTTCTGAGTCATCGATAATCGATAATATTTACGCATATTTCCTGCATTTGGGAGCGGTACCGGCTATTATGTAATGTATAGTTCGGTCTACGAAAAGGGGATAGATACCTTAGGGGGGTGTTGATGTTTACTTTGTTCTTCTTTAGAGTCTGGTCTGGGCAACGACAGTTTGGATCAGAATCCTTTTTATTTCGCGCATTTTGCTTCTCATCAATGTTAATTTCTCAATTCTGGATACACATATGGCATATATGGATCGTGGAATGGAGATATTTCTGAAATATTTGGATTTTATGGACATTCCTCCTATTTCTGTCGACAAGTATTTGAATAGCCAGAATTATAAAATTTTCTGATATAACCTTTTTTCCCCCTTTGAATCAATTTCCCCTATGTGTTGCTTGATTTGAATGCCAAGTTTGAGCTGTGATGATATGATTGGAATCCTCAATGCACTGGTAAATAGACATGAATTAGACCACTGAAAAAAATACGAGAAGTGATTAAGATTTCCCCGGATTGCCAAGAACATCTGTTTCACCGTTTCAAGACTTCGGAAATTATGAAGATCTCGCCCCTGAAAACGTGAGTGGCTGTGTAATTGATGTACTGTAATCTAAAATCCGATTTCATCTGAATAACAAGCCATCCGATATAGAATCCTACTTTGTATCACGAAGAAGTTCATTCTTGTTTGCAGCGACTCAATGAGACAACTCAATTTGTACTTCCGCTTACAATTAGTCGAAAAGGAGGGATATCATCCGGATATGGCAAACCTCTTCGGAAAAGCCTGAGGAGACTGTTTTCGAGCTAAAGAATGAGTTTGGAATGGACTATTTATTCGGTTGGATATTGTCTTAAATATATGAATTTAATACTATTCTATATGCAAGACTATACTCAAGAATATACATATAATTAAGTTATGTTATATTTATTTTGGGAACATTAATGAGAGAAATAATAACCCCTGCACTGTATATCAATCAGTAGAGTTTAGATCCGGTATCTTCGGGTGCGGATCGTGGCGCCCACCGCCGCCGCATTCATCGTTTTTTTATTGTGGGCGGCCAAGAAACTCAATACACACACATAGCTGATGAACTGATAGGCTGTGATAGGAGAATAAAAATAATTGGCAATCGGTAATGTTACTTCAACTTTCACATGCAACCCCTTCGCTCTTCCTTCCCCTTCTCTCAATACAAAGTTTTGCTATACGCGTATAAACTTTTGTATCTTTCATGAAGCCCCATGAAGGTCATTCATGGAAATACCCATCTATCTCACTTACTCACAGGAGACCACCACCAGGTAGGAGCAATGAATAATGAAAAGATTTTTTTTATACTCCGTACAGATTCAGCAACTCGGCCTATCCGTGATCCACTGTCACTCTCGATTACGTCAATTGCAAGGAAGCAAGAAATTGAATTTGCTGGCAAAATGGACAACGAATCTTCGAGACCCTTATTGTTGATGTTTACGGCGCAACAAACAGAGAGAGAACAAGATGAAAGATTCATAATCCCACGATACAGTTACAGTACCAACAACCTACCTTCTTAAACAGGAAATAACCTGGTAATGGTAAAGTTTGTTATCGTATTGGAGGATCCATAAGGCTTATCGCATCCGGAAACAGCGGAATACCTACGCCTTCAGTTTTCTTCTTTTTCATTCCTGCCACTTTTCAGAAAATCATATTGGATGATGATGATGATGATGATAATGGATTAGAAACAATCCATCTAAACAGTCATAAAGCAGGAAATAATCGGGAACAAAGACGAAACCGGACAATGGCTTCTTCAAGAACCTCCCCCCCAAATGGCAACGAGCCATTAGATGCTTCAACATCAACATCAAGTACGAATGCGGCAGATCAAACTGAATTCAGCGATGAATTCTCGGACGAAGCAGAAACTATGGCAATTCCTCATATATCAGATGAGGATGCACAATCCATCATCGGTGTATCACTAAGTCATGCAGCTTCGCGTTTGAAGTCTTCAAGAACACCTGCCGCAGAGAAGGCTGCAGCCATGGACAACTTGGAAGGAGGTTATTTTGATAGCGACCCCGAGACTCCGCCAGCAATGGACCCGGAAGAAGTTGGATTATTCAATGAGGAGGAACTGGTAGAACCAAGGGAGACAAAGGCGGAGGGAATGCCATTGGAAAAATTACCTTCGCAGAAACTTTTACCAAAACCAGAGGCTCTGCCAGCATTGGAAATGGAAACAAATGAGCCATTCGATGAAGGGGAACTCGCAGAACCAAGAATAACAAAAGGGAGCGGAATGTCATTGGGAAAACTACCATCACCAAAACTTTCATCCAAACCCAATTCTCCTCTCAAATCCCCGCCTTCGCCATGGCGTGCTGGACCAAAGTCAATTGTGGTGATAGAACCACCAAATGATGGCCGCACATCATCAATGGCTAGTGTATTCAGCACTGGAAGGAAACGTCAGAGTTCATTATCTAGTGGCGCTGACGCACTCAAAAAACTTCTGCCGAAAGGGCTACCTTCAATGTCTCAAGTGGGAAACTTATTTAGTACATCGACAAGTTCAAATCATAAATCCCGGTCATCAATTAGCACGCCAAGAAGTGCCACGTTCTCCCCTTTTTCTACATCGTCTATGCGTTCAAAAGATGAGGGTTCATCGTCTACAAATAACAGCCAGGTAAATGAACATCTCACAGCTCATTACAGACTGTCACAACATAATGGTAGTTCGCAGCTTCAGAATGAAGGTACACCGGACAACACAACGACAGAGCGACCAAGAGTGCTTCGTCGAGCTACATCTGATGATTCATTACTATACCATAGCCTATCTCGAACCTCATCACTAGGTGACGATACACGATTCGAAAACCACCGCGAGCAAGTTAACTCTCGGGTTAAAGCGATCAGAGACTCTTTTCAAGATCGATCAACCTTTCGGATGCCACAATTGCCCAGTATGCCAAGTATGCCCCGCGTACCCAGTTTTGGCTTTAGCATGAACTTCTTGAATTCCAGCACACCGTCGTACAAATCAAAGTCAATTACTGATGTACCTTCAGACATATTACCAACAGCTACAAAGAAGAAACTGCTCGAGCCAAGTCCCTCGTTCGCGAAATCCGATACGTTTTTCGGTAATGAGAATGCTCGGTCGTCGACGAAACCTACCAATGCTTTAGATCGGGCTATGGAACATTTGACTGGAGATGTTGTAATTATGGGCGGATATCGAGGATCAATACTTCGATCAGCAAAAGCTCCACATCATCAACTTTGGGTACCGGTCAAGGTAGGACTCAATATGCGTAAAGTGGACTTGGAAGTGGGTTTGGACCCAGAAGACGAGGAAAGAATGGAGGAAAGCATATTTCCATCCGGAATGCTTAAGAATATTGGACCAGTCGATATATCCAGGCGGTTGTTCAAACGGCTTCGTAATTGTGAAAATGCTCTGAATGGGACACTCAAAGTATGGGATTATGGTTATGATTGGAGGTTAAGTCCACATCTGTTGAGTCGAAAGCTCAAAGCCTTTCTCGAAAAACTACCTTCTAATCAGCCAGGTCCCAATGGAGAGAAACCTACTGGTGCTTTGGTGATTGCGCATTCATTGGGTGGTTTGATCACGCGACATGTGGTGAATCAAAAACCTGAGCTGTTTAGTGGGGTTATATATGCTGGTGTTCCGCAATCTTGCGTGAACATTCTAGGTCCCTTCAGAAATGGAGATGCTGTCCTACTAAGCTCAAGAGTTTTAACTGCTCAAGTAAATTTCACACTAAGAACCAGTTTTGTGTTACTTCCTGAGAATGGGGAGTGCTTTTTTGATCTTCACACAAGAGAAAAGTATCCTGTCGACTTTTTCAGTCTGGATGATTGGATCAAATATCGCTGGTCTCCTGTTACAGATCAGCCATTACCTCCAATTTCTCAATCTGCTACCGGAATTGGCAGTATCCTTAATCTTCAACTTCCAAACAGCTTATCGAGTCTCACAACAATTACCGGAAAGAAGTCCGGTTCGGGTTCAGGCTCGGGTTCAGGCTCAGGCACTAATACTCCTCAGCCCTCTTCACCATACCTCGGTTCTCACACTCGCAACGAAAATGACGATCGCAATCAACCGATCGATCAGTCCAAAACGAGTCGAGCAGCAGAGGTACTTCGTGGACTGGATGGCACAGATCGCACTCTAGCACCTCAAATGGGTAACTCTCTAAATAAAGGTCATAACCCACCGTCATCAGTCTCAACCCTCGTAACCCTGCCCCGCGACAAAGCAATCGCCTATCTCCGCCGCACACTTGCCGAAACCCTGCAATTCAAAAAAGAATTGCATTTTCGTCCCGAACTCTCGGATGCTAATCGCTACCCGCCGCTCGCAGTCATCTATGGAAAATCTATCCCGACGGTCTATGGAGCGAAGGTCGCTGGTGTCGAAGGTATTCCGTGCGCGGATGTTTATGATAATCTGGCCTTTGCAAGCGGTGATGGGGTGTGTCTGGCGAGAGAAGCAATGTTGCCTGATGGATATCAGCTGGTTAAGGGTGGGAAGGTGAGGAGTGATAGAGGGCATGTTACATTACTAGGGGATTTGAATGCGGTTGGACGGGCGATGGAAGTGGTGAGGAAGGGGAGGGGTAAGGGTATTGGTTTAGGGGTCTGAGGAGATGAGGATGCTGGGTTGGATGGATTGTGTCATACCAGGGGGCATAGAAGCAAAAGGGGGAATTCTTCTCTGGCTGGGGAAAAGGCGTCTGCATGCATATTTCATTTTTTTTATATCTCAATTTTTACAAGGCATAGGCATAGGCATAGGCGAACGGGCGGCATGGTGGTTGTATAACTACGTATGTATTCAATGGTTTGGTGGGTATCATGATCATAACATGAATATGATTTGATAAGTGTGGATGGAGCGTGGAGAACGGAGTTTATTATAGAATTTAGAGAGTATTTTTTTCTTTTTCATTATCATTATCATTCTCATTATCAGAGTGTCATGATGGAGAGAATAAATCTTAGTTAGGATGGATGGGTTGGGATATTTGGGTGAGAGACGAGAGAAGTGAGGAAAGAGGAAAGAGGAAAGAGATAGATGGATGGATGGATAGGGATATAAATAGATAGATATATCTGTCAGTAATATCATTATATCAAGTTTATGATGAATTGGTGATGAGTTTTAAGTTTTGAGTTTTGAGTTTTGAGTTTTGAGGTTTATAGATTATGGATTGTGGATTGTGGATTGGAAATGGAAATGGAAATGGAAATGGAAATGGAATCTTATGATATGAGTGCTTTGTTTTGTTTTAATTTGGCCAAATTTGGGGTGTAGTTGTATTACCCCTTGGGTAAAGGGTAAAGGGTAAAGGGTTTGGGGATTTGAGCGAGGGAAAGAGGGAGAAAGGGAGAGAGAGATTATTTATAGTGTGTAGTATTTAGTGTGGAGTATGTGGTATGGAGTATGGAGTATGTAGTATGTAGTGTGTAGTGTGCAGTATGGGGTTTGGGGTTTAGAATTGAAAATTTGTGTTGATTGATTGATGATTGATTGATTGATTGATTGATTGATTGAAGGAAGGGGAGCTCGAGGGTATTTGATGGAGGATGGAGGAAGGGGGAAGGGGGAAGGGGGAAGGAAAGAGGAGAGGAAGAGGAAGGAAAGAGAAAGGAAGGAGGAAAGGTTTCTTTTCCTTCTACTTTTTCCTTTTCTTTTTGGGGGTGTTGTGTTATGTTGTGTTATATTGTTTATAATGAATTGAGATGTGATAAAATGAGGTTTTGGTTATGGTTTGATATTATATTATAATAATATGGAGGAGATGATATATATAGAGAAGATGGAGAGGATAATATATAAGATTAAGGAGATGCCAGATAGCTAGTAGTGGAGGAATCCAAGAGTTGTTATGTTATGTTATATTCTGTTTATACTATTTTATACTATTTAATTTCATTTCATTCTTTTGTTTGGCTAATTACTCGTAGTATGTATATATAGTAGTATAGTAGGATCTTGGATTGAGTTTTGGGTCGGTGTTCTTTTTTGGGAGGGTTTTGGGGGGAGAAGGAGGGGGTTGGATGGGGTTTGTAATTTGTATTGGCTACTTACCCTACTTGAGTATATTGCTTATTTATATTTGCTACTTGAACTAAACCATCATATCATCCCAACTATCCTATCTAATAATATCATTGAATTCTTCATTCTTCTACTCAGGTGGGTTTTTGAAGAGGTACATATACACTTAACTTAATAAACGAAAATTATCAACTAGTTGGTTTGGTTTGGTTTGGTTTGGTATACTCGACTATATAATTCTGACTACTGGCTAGGCTATTGCACTTTAAACTGCTGACTTACTGACTACTTTGCACTACTGGTAGTACTGATGTAAATAATATGAATATATAAGTTCTTAATCCCCTAAATTCTGATTAGAATTAAGTGGAATAGATGGATGGACAGTTGAACGGCGCTCTTCTCTGAGGCTATAGAGTAGTATGTTTGGATTATGGTATATCTACTATTGATATATTATTACTTTAATTAACGAGAGAGAAAGAATAGCGGAATATAATAGAATTAGATTGTATAGTGCGTATTCCCAAAGAACTGATTGGTTTTATAAGTGCAATGGTTTGTAGGATCTAGATTAGATCAGCTTAGCTTAGCTTACTTGAAAAGGGGTCAGGTGAGCTAGCGAAGCGAATTTGAATTTGAGGGTGTAAATATCGAATGGTGTATTTTTCTAAATCACTGGGGTTGGGATTGGGGCTGATTGATAATGGAAGGAAGGGATTTTTATTATACTTGTAGTAGGTGAGTTTCTTGATCAGGGCTGGCTCTTACTGATGGATTTATGGGGGGATTGAGGTGGAAAGTCGTTTGGACTATCAATAGTTAATTTAAAGCGGAATATCGTGTTTATACTCGAAAGTTTCATTATATATAGGGCTCAGGGCTCTATACCTCCTTGTGGGTAGCATTCATTCACTGCAATGTAATCAATAGTTAACCAGTTGAACCAGTACACTAATTCAATTAATCCGTTTGATTCAACGAAGTCAAATTGACAACATATTTAGTTTAGTGACTTCAAACTGTTAATTGAATTCTAACTTTCAGATTGTTAGTTTGATTAGTGAAATTAATACTACTAATTAAATTGGTGATTCAATTAATCGTTTTAGTTTGTAATACTCAAACTGCTGATTAAACTACAGTGTTCCAAACTGCCAGTTTCCCATATAGTTCATACTACTTACTGACTACACTGATTCGCTGTACTGAATTGAATCACTTTGTAACTTTACTGTGGAAGAGAATTAAGAGATACAGCTAGGATATTTAATCGTGAAGGTGGATATCAGGAGATCTAGAACACACTGGCATCATACCTCCTTTTCAGATTCCGTATTTCTTTTCGTAGCGCGAACGAGTTATGGGTACCACTTCTAACAATTGTGGAAATTATTGCTTCTCGAGAAAGAAATCGCGAAAGGAGTAGAGGTTTGGGTGTGGGTGTTCGAGAAGGTGGAGAAGGTGGTTGGAGTTGGTGAGCGAGTATTCTGTTGGGGAATGTACTCGAGTAGTTGTATTGATACAAGTGCCAAGTTAAAGGCTAGTATTTACTACTGCTGGAAGATGATGGTATCGGAGGTTGAGTACCTCACATATTTGCTATGTAAAGGAGGATGGTGATGGAAAGGCTATGTGGGGGGATACTCAAGTCTATGTGGTACCGTCTCAGACCCTTGGGAAAGACAGTTGTTATGTTTACGCTTCGAGATATCTTTTCTAAAATGAGAAGATTACGAAATCAGAATCGGTTCGGCTCAGTTGACGGGGATCGTGATCCTCATAATCTCCTCTTCTCATTTATTTCAGAACGACTCTCGAGTCTCGGGTCTTCTGAGGACAGAGCGCGCTTTTATTTTAGGACTCATCGCACGATCTCGATGGGAAGCCGAAAGAAACCATGGACACTCTTGTCTAGCAGACGATATTGGAAGAACAGTTTTTACGTATACTTACCGTTGAGAGTCGAAAGCCCGTGTTTACACGCTCCAATACTCGGTCAGAGAATATCTCAGTGGGGAGGCTTGCGGGGGATATGAACGGATAGGAGTTTCGCGTATCAGCTGTCGATCGGCAATCGGCGAGCTAGTACCCAGTCTGGTGGGAGTACGTTGCTGCATTCTTCGCATTTGACTGGAGTGATGATTGGTAAGACTATAGTATGGCAGTGGAAGCGATAGATGGTTGGCTCCTCCTATTCCCGACCCGTTCGGTATGACTTCCCGAGATCCAAAAAAAAAACTATTATTGCAAGCCTGTTCCGAGATGGGTTTCTGGTACCTCGACGAGATGATATTTTGTAAATTCAAGACAGTATTCATTGACTGGAAATAAGAGGGATCTGGAAAAATTATATTCGGTACATTGGGGATGTCAAGACATATTATCTTTGAGGTGTGCAACAGTAAATCTAGGGAAATAGAGTGAGGCGAAAAGGGGTTAAAGGGGGAGATAATAAGGATGTCGGTTAAGGTGAATAGGGTTAGACTACTGTTATGAGGCTGTGTTGAACTACAAGTACTAGGTAAACCTATTGATGTCTTGTATGACGGGGAACGAGAAATTGCTACAGAGGAATCTCTAAGCATATACTTTATTCTTATTACAATACTTTCCAACAGGCGTATGTAACTATAGACTGAAGGACACTGTCCTTGAACTCAGTCTTGTCTTAGTATCCGAAAGGAAAGAAAGATGAGTACAGAATTGGCTGGAAGGTAGATCGGAAAGATTGAAGAAAGAACAGGCCACTTGAGAAAAGGAGAGGCTTTGACATAGAGTTTATCATTGTCATTTAGATAAAGGACGCAGAGCAAAACACTTAATGCAATGAAAGCCAGTCGAGAAACAGAGATTCGATGACTTGTAAGATTCAACGCGAGGGATTGAAAAGGCTCGTACAATGAGTATTTGTATGTTATTCAGATTCATCTTATGCAACCAATGATCAGTTTATGACTAAACGGTGGAACACCTACAATGTAGATATACTGATATCTAGTTTGAGGTAGGTAGTGAAGTTCTTGAATGGCGGTTATCAAAGGGGAGAAGCCAGATATTCACAAATGTGGGGTAATTTCTCTGACAGAAAACCACCTCCACAGCTCAATCAACAACGACTGCGACTTATGCAATGCAATATACTATAGCATGTCCCATAACGGGGTTGATTGCTATCAGAGAAAAGCCAACACTCTTGCTATAGTCACGGACTCACAGTACAGAAATTCGCATTCGGTGTCCCATTACGGCGACCGAGCCCACACAAAAAGCCTGACGCTTCGAAACAGCTCACAACGCAGAACGCAGAACACAGAACGCAGAACGGCGCAGAATGATCGAAAGCTTGCGAAAGGCACTGTCATTGAAGCCTTGATGATGACAAGGAATCCAGTCGCATTGATGGGTGTGGATATGCTCTCTTCACCCATCCTCCTCGGAATCCTGCTCGTTACCCTCTGTCCTTCTCCCTTTCATCCCTTAAAAAGGAAACAAAAAAAGGAAATGTATTCGATAATTACTACTTAGTAATATCGAAATTTTACTAATCTCCCTTTTCTTCACGGATCCTCTTCTCGAAG